AGTGCTGGGCTGCATTAACAGAGGGATAGAATCAAGATCACGTGAAGTATTAATATCACTTTACAATGCCTTGGTAAGGCCACACTTGGAATACTGCATCCAGTTTTGGTCACCACGATGTAAAAAAGATGCTGAGACTCTAGAAAGAGTACAGAGAAGAGCAACAAAGATGATTAGGGGACTGGAGGCTAAAACATATAAGGAACGGTTGCTGGAATTGGCTATGTCTAGTTTAACGAAGAGAAGGATGAGGGGGGACATAATAGCAGTGTTCCAATATCTCAGGGTCTGCCACAAAGAAGAGAGAGTCAGGCTATTCTCCAAAGCGCCTGAGGGCAGGACAAGAAACAACGGATGGAAACTAATTAAGGAGAGAAGCAACCTAGAACTAAGGAGAAACTTCCTGACAGTTAGAACAATTAACCAATGGAACAACCTGCCTCCAGAAGCGGTGAATGCTCCAACACTGGAAGTTTTTAAAAAGAGACTGGACAGCCATCTGTCCGAAATGGTGTAGGGTTTCCTGCCTACCTGAGCAGGGGGTTGGACTCGATGATCTCCAAGGTCCCTTCCAACTTTATTATTATTATTACTATTATTATTATTATTATTATTATTATTATTATTATTGTTGTTGTTGTTGTTGTTGTTGTTTTGTTGTTGTTGTTGTTGTTGTTGTTGTTATTGTTGTTATTATTATTATTATTATTATTATTATTATTATTATTATTATTATTATTATTATTATTATTATTATTATTATTATTATTATTATTATTATTATTATTATTATTATTATTATTATTATTATTGGATCCTGAGTTTGTCTTCCGGGGTGTTGGCTACTTCCTGCCAGTTTGGTGTCATCTGCAGATTTGATGAGTTCCCCTTCAATTCCCTCATCTAAGTCATTGATGAAGATATTGAAGAGTACTGGGCCTAAGACAGAACCTTGTGGTAACCCACTGCTTACTTTTCTCCATGTGGATGTAGTGCCATTGAGGACTACTCATTGAATACGGTTTGCTAGCCAACTACAGATCCATCTGGTGGTGATATTGTCTATTCCATCTTTTTCTAGCTTACCAAGGAGTAGGTTGTGGTCTACTTTATCAAATGGCTTACTGAAATCTAAGGATACTAGGTCCTACTAAGTATAGTACTAGTAAATTATTCTGTATTCTGAAGAGGCATTAATGCTATCACTTTGCTTTTTTGTTCCTTTCAATAGGAGCTTCTCTCTTTTACTTTGTGGATATTGGATACTAGGCACTGTTGCTTCCTCTTAATTTTTGGTGTGATCAGCTGAACAGGCACTGAGACAGAACCGCTAGACAGCTCAAGACCATGGCTTCCAATAATAAGTAACACTGAAAACAAAATCTCATGATAAGCTTACCTTCTTCTCAGACAAATTGTGGTCTAACTCATTTTCAGAATCTTCCTCACTTTGCTGTTGCTGCTGCATATCCTTCATCTTAATCAGAAGTTCTGCCTTGGGTGCAGAGGTGCTATAGTAAGTGGAATTAGTTGTTAAGGGAATGGCCAAAGACAGAGGCAACCCCTCTTTCCTAAGCAAAGATTTAAAAAAATACTAGTTTTCAACAGACTTCTAAACATGTTTATGCACTGAAAGCAAGATAATAATTATTCTGAAATACTATTTGCAGTACACAGATTGTAGGGTTAAGAGAAAGATACCCAAAGAAACAATAGATAAAATAACCATATTATTTTACCACCAAGAACCTAGTTAGAGAGACAGGAAATTAATGGAATCTCTCAAAATTATGGCCTAAAATGCTGATTTCTATTTTGCTTCTAATTGATGTTCTTTGAACATATTTAGATTTCTATGCCCTACCTTTGATTACATGGGGAATGGAAGAAAGATAATTATTTAAATCTGTTTGTGGCTTTCATTAGCCTTGATTATCTAATCCCATAAACACACATTTAGTAAATATATAGGTTCTTGGGTTTCATTATCTACAATTCTAATGCTTAAAAGAATCTATTGCTAAAATACCTTTCTCTTAATACTAGAAAAGTTAAGATTGAAATCAGTTCACTGATAGCAAATATATTGTATACATAGGATCAATTCTTTTGGAACATAATTCAATTAAAGGAGGTTTATTTTTCCTCCAAATAAAGAGTAAAGAACCAATGATGTCTGCAGTGGGTCAAAACTGGCAAGATGGTATCCAACGCAAGCCCTATTCCTTTTAGAGATCAATGCACACATACTCACATACATGCACACATAGTACAAAGAGACAAGCCATGGACTATACTGAAACCAGTATCTTGCCTGGTGGATGTAATGAGAGGAATAATAGACAACATATAGAGAATCAATCTGAGAAAAACCTTCACAAAATTCAACATTTTCTTTTTTTTTGTATTTAAATTTTATTATTTTTCATTTTTAAAAAAAACACAAACATGAATCTTTTATCACAATATCAACCAAAGAAAGTAAAACTAAACAAAACATTCACAGACGTGTCCGGTGTACCCCTCCCGCACCACCCTCTTCCACTTGCCACTCCTTCCTCCTCCCATTCTACCACCACTCCTCCTTCCTCCCTCTTTCCTACTTCCCTTCCACCCTCAAACCATCCCGTCCTGTGCAGTTGGGGTATCACCGGACACCTCCTTAAAAATAAAAAAAAAATACATATAAATCTATAATACAAACCTACCCTTTTCCCCCCTCCCCACCCCTGAACTTCCCAAAGCTAATCTAGGAAATAAACAAAAAGATATCCAAATCTATTCATAACTACTCCATATTACTACACACTAGTATAAACTTGCTCTGACTCTAAATTAAACATTAAAATACATACAAAATTTTTAATATACATCTTATGTTAATCAAAAGCTACATAGTAATTTTTCAATTCATACTTTCTCTGAATATAATCTATCCATCTTCTCCACATTGAGATAAATTTTTCCTGAGAATGATCCTTCAGGTACGCGGATATTTTTGCCATCTCTGCAAAATATGATACTTTCTGTCTCCAATCATCCATGGTTGGTAACATCTTTTTTTCCCAATTTTGAGCAACTAACGTCCTTGCTGCTGTTATACAATACAACATCAATTTCATTTCTTTTTGATCCAAACTGTCCATAATACCCAATAAAAAAAACTGCGGTGTAAATTTTATCTTTTTCTTGAAAATCTGTTGAATATTCCACCAAATCTTAATCCAAAAGGCTTTTACATCCCTACATGT